ATTTGTTTCACTAATTTACTCTACTCTTTCTCGTTCGCTGTGTTCTTAAGCATGTTCGTTAGACGGCTTACCATGTTCAAGTTCAGCAGAGTTCATCATATCATTAGGAGAATGTGGCATTAATGAGAAACCAAATTCAACAACTCACAGGGAAATACCGGTGAGTTAGGGTGCGATGATCTCAATCCGTTTTCAACACAAAAAGTAAACGCGTCAAAATATTCAAAATATAGTTTTTCTATCAAATTCTCATCACAAATGGTCAGCTGCATCGCCATTTCTATTTTTAAACAATTCTCTTAAGCTAGCTTACCGTAATGACTTTCTCAGTCACATAAGTCTCCACAATTCTCGTCTCCTAAAAGAAAAGCTTTCGTAGACGTTTGGAATGCTATAAATCCGCTACCTTGACAACTTCTGAGCGTTCTGAACGTTGTCCTTCTTTAGCAGTGGTTATCTCCTGCGTTGCCACAAGTTCTTGCGCCATATGCAGTTGTTCTGGCTTCACCTCTTCACTCCAGCACTGTACCTGTACAGGCGCGATTTCAGCTACTAAGCAGTCGGGAACAGCTTCAATAATAGGCCGTCTCTCTATTTCCTTTGCAGTAGATATCTCTACATGCTGATCAGTCGTTTGTTTCTCCTTTGTACTGCACTCACTTCCTTCCTTAAAATCATGAGAATGACTCTTCAACAGTTGCCGCGCAGAAGGTATACATGTCGGACAACATTTTTGCATTTTTGCAAACAAGCTTTGAATTTGCCAATTTTGAGTGATGTAACATTGAAAGGCACGAAAGACCCTAACTTCTTTTGGCGGCTATCTGTAAATTGTAATGACGCAGGATTACTGTAAGTTCCAGTTCTAGCAACGTATGGGAGACTGATGGTCACAAAAAAATCGTTTGCGGGATGAAAATTCTAAGGTTTTGATAAAGTTAGAGATCTGTGCATTTGGAAATAAGAGGAGCTACGAACCATGGGTACCACTAGATTTTAGATGCTGTATTCTATAGGAAGATCTAAACTCAATGGAATTTCCTTAAGTGATTCTTCATTACTTGGCTAAATCCTGGCTTTTTAGTCACTTGCAAAAATGATGATATTCTGGGAATCTTACTAACCCTAATGATCCTCTCAATTACACGAGTCTCCACAATCTTCGTTTCCTGAAATGATGAGATCATAGTACCATACATATCTACACCACAATCACCAACCTTAATGCGCTCGGACTTCTCCCCTTCTCTTGCGGTAGATACCTCCTGCGTTGCCACAAGTTCTTGCACCATGCATTGTTGTACTGGCTTCACCTCTTCACTCCAACATTGTAGCTGCACAGGTCCGACATCTGTTATCAACCAGTCAGGAATAGCAGTAATAG